TTAAATTGATAATGCTTCTCAGTAATTTGGAGAGATCCCAGACTATAGACTTGCCTAATACAATACGTCTTTTTGCTCTGTTGCTGAAGTGCCCCATTATACCATATTAGAGGTCCTTTTTAATATTGTTTTTGTTTATATCAAGGAGAAACACTAAAGATTTTCTAAAAAAGTGGTTTCATGAAACATTATTTTGGAACATGTCCAAATATATTGGGGCCATCATGACTCTCAGCATATAGATTTCTACTTTTATCTTATCTGTTAGTCTCCTTATCTGTTAAATGGGAAGATCCATAACATCTTCCCTATTTACTATGAAGATTTGTGATGAATATAAAATGAGGTTATATAGTCAAAGTGCTCTATAAAGAGCAAATGCTATTAAAATATAATACATTATTATGTAATCTATGTGTAATGTTTCAGTAGTAATTTTCATTTGATTTGAACTAATGCAGTTTCCCTGATGACAGGATTGGAGAATGCTAAATAGTGAAAAGTGACTGAAATTGATGAGCAAAGGGTGTAATTATCTAAAATGAGCAGCAGTCTTGTCAATGGAAGAACTCTAACTATACCAAACAGGACCATAATTTTTCCCTTGATTTTTCTTTTTTTTGTGTCTGTGGATTGTCTACAATTTAGTTCTTTAACAAGATACAATATCACCTTGTCAGATGGAAAGAAAAGAGAAGCTACTCGATGTCTGGGTGGGTTTTTTGTTCCTATTTAAAGATTTTAATGAAATCCATTTTAGACAATACAATAAGCTGGCAAAAGATAAAGGAGACAGTAATCTTTGATGGTGCCTCTGGTTAAGGCTGGCAACTTAATCAACCCATAGCTTTAAGAAATATGTTCTTACTAATAATTTTTTAAAATAAAAAAAGATATTTTAAAACCAGCTTCTGTATATTTAGTTGAGTATTTTTGTTTCATGAAAATTGAATATGTGCTGTATGGGTAGTTTGGTTGCCAAGAAAAAGAAAGCTTGGACCCTAGACTTGGGAGGATAAGAATCCTCTGAAATTGTAGGTGAAGGTATATATCTGTAAGTGTTAACACCAACACTTAGTCTTTGGCATCCAATCAATTACAACTAACAGGGACTGTCTTAAACAGAGTTGTATTGCTCTGTTGGGTTTGCAGGGCTTTTATCTGTATAGAAGCAGACTACTACATCATTCTTCTGTGGAATGGCTGGGAAGTTCTAAGCACTGACTCTTCAGATAGGCTTGAACACTTTTTTTTAAATTTTATTGGGAAAACATATTGGGGGTACAAGAAGGTGAGGGGTGGGGGCAGAAGGGTGAGGATGGGAAGGGATGAAAATTGCAGGGGTACAGTTACAGATCTGTACAATTTGGTTGGAGGGGAGAGCAGGTGAAGGAAATGAAAAGGATACAGTGGGGACCAGATGCTACAGGGGAATGGTAAGAATATTCCAATGGTGATTAAACCAACTGTCTTATTGATTTGCGAACTGGATGCAGACTCTCTGGATTCTTCATGCTGAACAGGGGCATAGATGTGAAGGGGCAAAGTGAGGACACTTTATCACCTTAGTGGTGGTCTTGGGTTAAAGCTGCTTGCCTTCTTGTTCTATTAGAAGATGTTTTCCTGACCTTTGCTCCCGAATGGACTGCAAAATGTTTTCCCAGGTGGGTCCAGTGGGGATGGCTGGTTGAACCCAGAGGATCCATTCCCTTTTGCTTCCTTACCTGGCAGTTGTATTTCCTTTTTTGTCACTGGCACTGGGTTCAGGATCAGGTCTGGAGTAAAACTCAGTGTTAGGGTTACCTATAGGGAAGGGAGCAAACCTAGAGAGCCACTGTCCTGGCTCCAAGAATTTTCCCTAGAACAAGTCCACCCCGCAGCAGCATGGTGGCTGCACCAGTCTCAGGGAGGCCCAATGCCTACCATCCATTCTGGGTGAGGGAATCCCTGTGTTCTGGCAGCAGAAGCCTCATGGAGCTGCTGCGGGGGCGGTGCAGTGCGTGCTCGGCAGGAGGGGGCTGGCAGCTGTGGGACTCACCCATTCCTCCTTGGGAATCCTTGAATTCCTGTTGTTGAGCCTTGATCTCCACTGAAGACCAGTCATCAACTGTTTAGCTGTTCAATTATCAATAAACAGAGGTCTGTAGAAGGCCATAGCGGCCCTGTTCCAAGTGGTCCACTGCTCTCACAGCTCACCACAATGTCTCTGCCTTCGCCACCATCTTGGATCCAGGAGTGAACACTTTCACCACTGTGCTACAAGGGCCACATTTGTAAATAATCAGAGTGAAATAAGTGATAAATAGGAATGAGTCTAGACAGAATTCAAAGATGAACTCCAGTGGCCTGAAACTCTCAGAATAGAATTTTAGAATTGAATAAGGGCTTTGAAGGATGGTTGATATATCAATTTCCAAATTAATAAAATTTTACATTTATAATTTAAAATATGTCAATATTGTGTTAATATAATTCACCTTTTCTTTTGACCTTTGTCAGCATCATATTATAGCTCACAGTAATACTTTTATAAAGTGCCTTTCTATTCTTGTAACAAGTATAGAAGAAAAACAAAGCTTTAGTGATTTCCATTTCCAAGGTGAGAAACTTGGGGCTTTATTAGCTTAATCAACATATTTTTCCCCAAAAAAAAACCACAACCAAAAAAACAGATGACAAAAGTAGAATCCAGCTCACTTCTCTTTTTGTATCATGAGTCCTGCCTATGACATGTCTATGATATGAAATGCCACTTTGCTAAAACCATGCAGAGCTTGGATTGCATAGTAAATTTATTAGTATTTTTTTCCACTGTGAAAAGTAGTTAAAGTCTAAAATGATTACAGACTCAAGATTTCAAAGAATAGAAAGTTGAGAAATTGGAAATTCAGGCAAGCTTAGACCATGAATACTTCTCATAATGATAAATATTTGTTTTAGGAGATAGTGATAATTCTTTTCTTTTGATTTTGAGTTTGTATGATTCTAGCTACTATAATTTTGATATCATGTCCATATTGACATTTTAAATACTTTATGAACATATATTAGTTGTCTGCAGCAACTGGATTCTGCAGAGGATTCTTTGCTGGTTCTGGTGAGGATTAGGGTGGAATGTTGACTTGCTAATGGGTGTGAGATGATGTGACATGGCCTCCTATTTAAAAACACATTTGGTCAGCAATATAGGGCAGTAATCCAGTTTGCTGCAGAGAGGTAGCTCATGGTTTCTGTGATGCTAAACACTGTGACACTGATGTGGCAATTGTGATAATGGTTACCCATGGTGTACAGTGTTTGGTGGATCTCCCCTATTAAAACAAGCTTGGAAGCAGGAGTGGCATCCACTTCCCAAATGACTTGCCTCCAGAAACTATGAATGTGGAGAAATAATGAAAGTTATACAAGTGTTCAGGTCTTTCATTCATTGGGTCACTATGAGTCATCTATGACTTAATAGCACTTAACAACAACAAGAACAACAACAACATTATTTCTGTAGGTGTCAAAATTTATAGCTACTGCCGATACTATTATGATTTTTTGTTCATACTTGTAATTGGAGGAAATATTAAATTTCATATAGGCTGTGGCCCTTGGGCCTTGTGTTAATTGTGTTTTGAGACAAACATTCTTCTTAGTGCTGTCAATTTTTGGTACTGAGATAACCTGGGGTTGCTGTGATGTTCAACACGGTGCCACTAATGTGTCAAATGCCATAATGGTTACCTATGGTGGATAGTGTTTGGTGGAGCTCCCATATTAAGACAGATTTGGGAGCAGGAGTAACATCCACTTCCTAAACAATATGCCTCTGGAAACTCTTATGAACTTAGAGAAATGACGATAATTTTTGAAGGGTTCAGGTCTTTTGTTCATAGGGTCACTATGAGTCATGCTCAGCTTGATGACACTTAACAACAACACCACCACAACCTGTAGCATTAAAGTTGGACTATGTTATGAACGTGACAAGGATATACTATACTTATAAGTATATATACTTAAAAAATAAAATAATTATAATCTATTAATTTGCTAATTAGTTCATTAGAGTATTTATTGCATACATATTATAGGACATATTGATGAGTAAAAAGGATTTTATAAACAAGGAATTAATTGTATAGTAAGGGACAAAAAGACACCCAAACAAGTAGCTCTAATAGACTAGGAAAAGTTTTTGAGAGTATAACAAAGGAAATAACTAATGGAGACTTCAAAAATGAATAGGTATTTTTCTGGCTGAGTACATTACACAAGATCAGAAAAAAATGTGAAGAAAGAAAAGGATGAGTATCATTTCTGGATACAGAATGTGAGTGATGTTTTGAGTTTTAGAAAGGAGATTAAATAGTTCCCTAAAGACAATGAGGAATTATTTTACATTTGCAAATGGAAGACTTATTTTTATTTTCTTCATATTTTGTAATTTTATTTTTCTTCCTCAGAAGTTATTTTTAAAAGTAGCCAATGAAAAATGTGATTTATTTTACTTAGGATAGACACTTTCAAGGTGAACCTCATCCCAAGTCTTGCTACCTGATACTGAGGTGTAACCAAATGACTGAAGATTTGTAAAGGACAGAGAAGCCTTCTAGATCAGAGTTCCTCAAATCTGAATTTCATGGAAGAGTTTAATTTTAAAACAATTTAGGAATAGGCTTAGACTAAGAATGCTTTTAGGAGAGCATAGTAGAACATTAAAAACAATGAACCATCAAACAGATCTATCCTCTCCTATAATCATTTAATAGAGGAAAGTCTGTTGCAAAGTCGACAAGATGGGAAGGCACACTCTCACGATAAATGATGGCTTTAATAGAATAAATGTAGCTATGTAACAAAAGCCGGTAGTGGCAGTGTTGTTCCTCTTGTTTTCATTTCATCTGCACACACAGCCAGCTCGGGTTTTAGCACTGTCAGCAGCCAACTTTCAGATCCTTCTTGTTATTCTCTTGAAATTGAGAGCTTACTTATTCTTTCTGTCCTCATGTCAGGTACTGGCACAGCACAGCCACTTATGCCCTGGCCACTGAGATAAGTGGTGGTCTCCAGCATCTGCCCCCAGCCCATCACCCTATATACCAGTGGCCAAAGGACTTACTCAAACCAGACCTTGTCTTGTTGCTCACTGTGAGTCCTGAAGAGAGAGAGCAGAGGATTGCAGTCCGGGGAATGGAGAAGACCAAAGAAGAAGTTGAACTTGAGGCCAATAATATATTTCGTCAAAAGTATGTATCTATAATATAGTGTGGGTGGTAGCCTGTCCCTGGCCTAGGTAGCAGCCAGGATCAGCAGAAGGTTTAGAAATCGACAATGTTCCCATATTTTATATACTACACGCATTCTATATTCTCTTAAGTAGTTTCAACTTCTTCAAATACAGTTGTTAGGCTAGGGTTACAACTTTGTTATATTTAGACAATAGGATATTTGAGAATTATATCTCTGTTTCTAGGTCTGACAAGACATTAAATAGTCTTTATTTCAGTTTCCCCAATTGTAAAATAGCAAGCATAGTATCATGAATAACAATCTCATAGTAAATTTCCCTTAGTTAGGTCATTGCTATATTTTACTTAAGATGTCTGTAATCTTATGTCATTGCAAAGCAAATATTACTTGTATGTTGTGGTTTACAGAACAGATGCTGGAAGGATTAAGTAATTTATCTAAATTATAACTGCTTTTAAGCAATAAGATGAGCTAAAATTAAACTCTGGGTGATTTTTAAAGCAATTGTTTGTTTTCATTACAAAGCAGTACAGTATAATGATGGGGGGAAAGTCTGGACAGTTGTGTTGCTTTGTAGCTGAGCATACATCTGTTTCATGGTACCATTCAGATTATCAAATTATGTTTGTTGTTATTGTTATGTGCCATCAAGTCACTTGCGACTCATAGTGACTAGATGTACAACAGCTTTGACTCCTACTCTACCCTATGCCAATCTTATTGTCTCTGACACACCTATCCCCATTGCTCCAGTCACTGAATCAATCCATCTGAGGGTTTTCTGCTCTTGTGCTGTCCCTCCACCCTCCCAAGGATGATGTCCCTCTCCAAGGACTGGTCTTTCCTTGCAACATCCCCAGAGTATGTCAGACAAAACTTCAGAATCTTTGCCTCCAAGGAGCAGCCTGGTTTCACTCTCTCTAGGATGAACCTATTTGTTCTCCTAGAAGTTCATGGTATATTCAATATTCTACACTACTACAGCTAGAAAGAAATTGTCTAAGTCAACAAAACCGGCACATAATAAAATAATTTACTGTGTATAAACATACTATGTTAAGAAATTGACTTATGTTAATTAAGTTAGAACCAGTTTCAAGCACACAAGGAAGGAATATTACACTGTCTATTGTACAGATGAGAAAAGCTAAAAGTACAGAAGGATGAAACATTTGTCAAGCTCGTATTGCCAAGTTCAAGGTTTTGAATCTTGCTCTAGCACAGACCCTAACTGAGTCAACAACGATGCTGTGTTGTTTCCATTATACAGTGATTATGCTCTAGTTAGGCCATATATTCATTAAGACTAACATTAGAAAGATATATAGAATTTTGATGAGGTTTCTGATCAGCCATGGGTGAAAAGAAATTATATTCTTACAATGTTCAACTTGTATGAGAATCTTTTGTGCTTAGACTGAGGAGAAATATAAAGACTGGATTGTCCTTTGAGCACTTTTTTTAACCTCTCTGAGACTTGAACTTCTTCTGCAAAATGGATATGACTATAATAGTTCCCTTCTTAAAGTTATTCTCAGGCTTGAATGAGAAGAATCCTGGTTAGTGCTTAGCTCAGCATATAATAGGCATACAATAAACTCTGTTTATGCAGTTTGTTCAGCTTCAATTTGAACTTGCATATGATTAATTGATGGTCCATCCCACAGTTAGTACTTGGCCTGGTTTTGACCGGTTTAAGAGACTGTGACACTAGGGATATCATTGCTGATGTTGTATGAATCCTGCTGAAAGCAGAGAATACCAGAACAATGTCTATTTGTGTTTTATTGACTATGTAAAAGCATTTGACTATGTGAGTCATAAAAAAACTATAGCTAAAATTGAGAAGAATGGGAATCCAAGAACCCTTAATTATGTTCCCATGAAACCTATGCTAGACCAAGAAGCTGTTATCCAAACAGAGCAAGGAAACACTGCACACTTTAAAATCCAAGAAAGGTGTGTGTCAGGGTTGTATCCTTTCTCTATACCTAGTCAATCTGTAAGCTGAGCAAATTATTCAAGTAGCAGAACTATATGAGGAGGAAGAGAGAATGTAGCATCAAGATAGGAGGAAGAATCAACAACCTACATTGTACAGATGACACAACCTTGCTTGCTAAACTTGATGAGGATTTGAAAACACTTACTACAGCAGATCAGAGAATATAGCCATCAATACAGATTGCATCACAACGTCAAGAAAAAATTCTCACTACTGAACCAATAGGCAACATCATGCTATTGTGGTCATGTGCCATTGAGTCCTCTGCTACTCAGGACGATCACATGTACAATATCTCTGAACTCTTTCCTATCCTGAGCCAGTCTCACCATTGCCAACACATCTAACCTCATTACCCCAGTTACTGTGCCAATCAAACTAATCTGGAGTCTTCTTTTCCTGTACTGTCCATCGACCCTTTCAAGCATGGTGTCCTCCAAGAAATGGTCCCTCCTGGCCTTATGCTCATAGTACATGAGATGGAGCATCAAATACCTTGCCTCTAAGGAACAGTTTTGTTTCACCCTCTCCATGATAGATAAGACTTTTTATTTTTGTTTGTTCTCTTTTTAGTCTGTGATTTAAGACTCTTCTCCAGCTCCACAACTCAAAGGCAGTGTTTCTTCTTCTGTCATCATTAGTCATAATCCAGCTCTCTGGTGCATAGCAAGTACTGTGAAGACCATGGCCTGAGTCAGGCTCATCTTAGTCTCTAGCCTGACAATGTTGCTCTGGAGGTCCCCAACAGCAGATTTCTCTAATGCAACTCATCTTTTTATTTCCTCACTGCTTGTGTCAAAAGTTGAGCATGAAAACTCAAACTGTTAACAATCTCATTCTCTTCTCCATCTATCAATTGGCCCAGTGGTGAGAATCTTTGTCTTCTTGATGTTGAGCTTCATCAACTACTTATATGCAAGTTCAAACTAAAGCTGAAGAAAGTTAACTCAAATCTACAGGAACTAAAACCTGACTGTGAGTCTATCTCACCTGAATTTAAAAACCACCTCAGGAACAGATTTGAGGCCTTGGACACTAATGAATGAAAACAAGATGAGTTATGGGAGGATATAAAAAATCTAATCCATGAAGAATGCAAATAGTCATTAAAAAGATAGAAGAGGAAGAAAAGATCAAAATGGATATCAGAAGAGATTCTGAATTTTGCACTAGAACTCTGAGAATCCATGCAAAGGGAAGAAATCAGAAAGATCTAAATATAAGATTTCAGAGGGTGGACCAGGAAGACAAAGCAAAAATTGTAACAAATTGTGGACTTGGAAAATCCAAAGGGTCAAATTTGCTCAGCATTTCTTAAGCTGAAGGAACTAAAGAATAAATTAAAACCTCAAGTTTCAATATTTAAGGATGCTATAGGCAGAATATTGGATGATCTAATAAACATTAAAAGAAGGTAGAAGGAGCACACAGAGTCACTGTACTAAAAAGAATTTGCTGACACAGAAGGATTTCATGAAACAATATATGACGAAGAGGCAGAAGTGATTAAGAAGGAAGTTCAAATTGTTCTGAAGGAATTGCAAAAAACAAGGCCACAGGCTGATGGAATACCATTTGACATATTTCAGCAACAAATGCTGCCCTAAATATGCTCACCAGACTGTGCCAAGAAATCTGGAAGACAACTATTTTGCTAACTCTCTGGAGATTCATATTTATTCCCATTCCAAAAAAAGGTGACCTGATAGAGTATAGAAAATATCAAGTAATATCACTAGTATCACACACAAGCAAAATCCTGCTGAAGATTTTGCCAAAATGACTGGAACAGTATAGTACATCGACTGAGAACTACCAAAAATACAAGCTGGATTTAGAAGAGGCTGTGGCATTAGAGATGCTATTGCCAATGTCATGTGGATCTTGGCTGAAAGCAAAGAGTATCAGAAGACTGTGTTTCACTGACTGTGTGGATCACAACAAATTGTGGTTAACCTTGAGAAGAATGGAAATCCCTGAATGTTTGTGTTCATGCAAAACCAATTCTTGGCCCTGGAAGCTGTCCTCAGAACAGAGAGAGGAAACACGTGTGGTTCATAATCAGGTAGCAGCACATCAGGGTTGTGTCTTGTGTCTGTATTGAGGAACAGATTGTTCTGGAGGCTGGAGTTTATGAGGATGAATGTGGCAACAGGATTGGAGGAAGACTCAATAGCCTGTGTTATGCAGATGACACAACCTTGCTTGCCAAGACTGAGGAAGATCTGAAGTGTTTGCTGTAGAAGGTCAAGGACTGTAGTCAACATCATGATAGGTGGATAAAATGTTGAAATTGTCAGTTATTTAATCTTACTTGGGTCCACAATCAACACCCTTGGAACCAACAGTCAAGAGATCAGGAGACATACTGCACTAGGAAAATCTGCTCTCCGGAAACTCTCCAAATTACTGAGGACCAGTGATGCCAGTTTGGAGCCTAAGATATGTCTAATTCAGGCCATGGTGTTTTCAGTAACTTACTGTGCCTCTGAAAGCTGGACAATGAATAAAGATGACAGAAGGAGAATTGATGACTTTGAGTTGTCATGTTGGAGGAAAGCACTGCATATGCCATGGACTGCCAAAAGAACAACAGATATGTTTCAGAAAATTGCATCTGTAGTGCTCCTTTGAAGGAAAGATGTTGAAGATTTGTTTCACATATTTTTGACATGTTTCTATGAGATGTTATTGCTTAGAAAGAAACATCATTGTTGGAAAGGTGGAGGGGTCAGAGAAAGAGAGGAAGACCATCAATGTGATGGATTGATGGTGAATGCAGTAATGGGATCAAGTGTGCCAGGGATGATGATGACACAAGATAGGAAAGAGTTCAGATCTGTTGTTCATAGTGTTGCTATGATCCATACTCAGCTGGATGTTAGCAACAACAACACGCAAGCATTATTATTAATTTACTATTTCAATAAAATACTCTAAATGTCTTCTTCGGGAAAAGTTAATTTCTGCACTGAACTGAATCAAATGAGACCTTTCCTCAAGATGTTTGTTTTCTGGTAGGTAATAATATAAACATAAATACCTTTGTGGGAAAAGAGGTCAACTCTTCTTTCTTCTTATTCTCCAGAGTGGAAGTATCCTACCAGCGGATGGAGAACCCCAGTTGCCATGTGGTTGACGCCAGTCCCTCTAGAGAAAAGGTCCTCCAGACTGTTTTAGGCCTAATTAGAAATAACTGTAATAACTTATAATTACTCCTGGTGAGTGAAACATTTGACTAGTGCATTTAAGCCCACAATTTAATATACAGATTTCTTTTGCATAAGCATGTTCTGTGGCAGAACATTGGAGATGAAATATTTTAGATTTACCTACATCATTATCCATTTATCTAAACTATTGTCTTGGTACTAATAGATGTATCAAGTTTGATTGGTCAGCTTTCTGTGAGGCAGTAGTGGTTGCTTTTCTGCCTAGTATGTTGAACATGTTCTTGAACTTATATTTAACTACAACACTCCCAAATGCGACAGGAATATAAGAAGATCTTTAAATTCAACTGGTTGCACCTTCACTTGTCTTACCATCACACCCTGGTGACACCTTATCTGAATAAGTTTGCACTTTGTCATTGTGGGTTAGCTCTATCCCTTTTGGTCTTAAATCCTATAGCCAAATGCTTCTGCAGAACATATTTAAACGTACTGACTGTTCAAGGGCACGCCTATGGAGCCATCCTGTGTCTGGGGGACATGCACAAAGAAGGCATCCGTCATTAGCCTGAGGCTTAGAACACTCTGGCGAGTCCCATGGGTTAGCACTTCGGAGTCAAATATGGAGATGTCAAACACAAAATGTTCCACATACATACATAACAGCGTTCTTTGAATGTTATTTTACTTATTTCTATTTCTTCTCTTCTGTAAATTTGGCTCTAAAGGTAATGATTTTTTTGCTCCAAATTGGATGCATTTAACTTAGCTAATCTAGTAACTTATTTATATCGATGTTTTCATAGTTTTTCCCTCAGAGCTAAGACTGTAATTCACTACTTAAAATTGAAGCCAGAAAGTTACACTGGATGTTTGTTGTGTATTTTTATTATAAAATTTTAATTTATTTTTATAAATAAACGCAATAGACCCTAGAATATTGTCTATCAAGAAATACTCTTGTACTTGGCTATCTTATGAATACAAGTGGAATGAGTTTGGAATGTACATGCCTAGAATTTTTTTTTTTAAGAATGCAGGGAAAAATGAAATAGCTCTATAAACTTGGGTGAGCCATTTAACAACTATAAGTCATAGAATTTGAACTTAGAAATGATAAAGTATTTGCTTTAAAGAGTTGGTTGAGCCAGCTGATTACCTAATATCCCTCTTAGTTCTAAGAAATAAAGTCTATAAAGTATTTTTTATTCTGCTTTCTATTTCTTGACATTTCCCCAATATAATGAAATATATGGTCTATAAGAGTTGATATAAATATTTAATAAGATCATTGAAGAGTCAATACCTTTGAATGGTGATGTTGACAAAGAGTATGGAATATACTGTGGTCTACTGTGAAAGAACAAATTGTTTTGGAAGAAACACCGCCAGAATGCTCTGTAGAAGGAAGAATATTGAGTGAAACAAGACTCAGGAAAAAAGAGATCACCCTTGGTTTTTTTTTCTTTCGTGTGTGTGTTTTTTTTGTAAAAAAACACTCATTGTAAAAAAACCTCCAATCCTCATTGTGATGAAATGTCATAGCGGCTGCATCAATGGGCTCTAGTAATTGTAAAGATCATACAGGATTGGGTAGTAATGGCATGAAAAGCAATAGCAGATTTAACATATAGAATTTAAAATTATAAACTTTAGTTTTAATAGCAATTTAAACAGTTCTCAAATGACTATAGGTGATTTATATACAGTGAATCTACATGTATACAATGGGAGCTTTGATGGTCTGTTGGGTAAGGAGTTGCAGTGCCAACCTAAGGGCAGGAAGTTTGAATCCACCAACTGCTCTAAGAAATATGGGCAAGTTCCTTCTGTGTGATTTACAGCATCTGAAAATATGCAGAAGAGTCGGCTATGAATTGGTTTTGACTCACCAGCATGTGACAACATGTATCCAGGTGTTATTGGTTCCAGTTCACAATATTTTAAAGTTAGCAAATAATGGTGGTTTGCTGTTATGTGCTGTCAAGTCCCTTGCAAATCTACAACTCTGAACCCTGCTCTATCCTGAGCCAAACTTATTGTCTCTGACACATGTACCCCCATTACCCCAGTCACTGAGTCAATCCATCTCATCCAGAGTCTTCCTGTCTTGTGCTGTTCCTTCACACTTACAAGCATGATAACCCTCTCCAAGGACTCCTCATTAGAATGGAATGAGCAATGTTGACAACTTCAGAAAGCAAAATTACAATGCTGTATGTTTCTTCAAAATGGTTAAACTTGCTGTGGTTTTCTAGTCTATACTGTAATCGTGGGTATATGTTGATTTTTCTGGAGGTTCACCTCAAGTTCATTTTGCAATTCTATGAAGATTTTATGTAGATCTGAGTCTTCCGGTCAGGAAAATGAAAGGGTACAGTGTGTAGTGGGTCTGTTGCCCAAAACTCTGTTTCCCTAGACCATTGTGTTTGGCCTTTCAGTGGATCTTTTTTTCTTACCTTAGACAATGATTCTAATCCAACACAACTGCCTCAACTCTCCCTGCCCTGCAAACATGTGGCCCACCCAAATCCTGACCAGCTACATGAGCCCTTTCTTCCTCATACAGCATGTTAGCCTATTCACAAGGGTATTGACTAGTCTCACCATTAAGTTGAGCAGATTTAGCAGCAAAAAGTGGGAGTTTCATCACCAAAGAAGAAGCAGCAGGGCATTGAATGCAGTATGCATCCTTCAGGACAGAGATGCCTGTGCAAGAGTTTGTATCTTGCTATTCATCTGAATTATAGCCTATTAGGGCTTGTATTTGACAAACTCTCTGAATTGTGTCATGTTCTTGACTGAGAAGCTCTTTGGACTGAAGGTGTATTTTGCTGTTTACCTGAATTATAGCTGATTAGGGATTTATGCATAAGAAGCTCTCTGGATTTAGGGATTGTATCTTGCTTTTAACCAGGGATTATACTTGAGAAGCTCTCTGGACCAAGGTATTGTGTCTTGCTGTTAAATGAATTATAGCCTGTTAACTTCCCTAATACACCTCATCATCACAAGTATGTTTCTCTAAAGTCTGTGTGGTCACTGCATCAGATTTTGAACCAGGTGAATAGATGCAGGAATGTGGGGGGAACATGCCTGACCTCATGGGAATTTATTTTCTGTTGTGGATACTGCTGATGGAGGACAGTTTCTCATGGAGTTAGTAGAGTTCAGATTCAGCCATCTCCAAGCTTCCCTTGCTCTTTTTACAAAGGCTATGAACTTATGGGCTGCATGGTGTTTGTGCTGATAGAACTTCAAAAGAATGGTAAAGACATTTTTGTTTTGCTTGAAACATTCCAGGAAAGTTTGTGATTTCCTCATTACAAGTATTCATAGCATTTTCCTAATTCTGAAAGAAAGAAATCAGAATTGGAGGACAACTCACCAACAACCTGTGTTATGGAGATGACACAACCTTACTTGGTGAAACCCAGGAGGGCCTCAAGCATTTGTTGCAGAGGTTCAAGAACTATAGTTTGCAGTATGGATTGAAGCTTAAAATCAAGAAAACAAAGATTCTCACCCTGGGCCAATTGACAGTATCATAATAGATGAAGAAGAGGTTGAGACACAATGTCATCTATTACTTGCTATGCATCAGAGAGCTGAACAATGATCAAGGATGACAAAAGAATTGATGCCTTTGACTTGTGGTGCTGGAGAAGAATATTGGACATACAATGGACTGCCAAGAGAACCAACAGGTCTGTCTTGGAGAAGGTGAAACCAAGCTGCTCCTTGGAGACAAGGATATTTGAGACTCCATCTCACGTAGATGGGCATGTAACCATGAAGGACCATTCTTTGGACAAGAAAATCAGTGCTTGGAAGGTCAAGCACAGGAGAGGAAGATTCTGGAGGAGATGGATTAACACATTAACTAGGGTAATGAGACAGGCGTATCAGAGACAGCGGTGAGATTGGCTTAGGATAGAGCAAAGTTCAGAGTTATTGTGTATGGGGTCATGATGAGCTGTAGTTGTCTCGATGGCACACAACAACAACAACAACGCATAAAGTTAACATATCCCTATAAGAAACTGATGAGAAGTTTGATTTGGTTGATTTAATTACAAAGGAACTTCCTTTCTGTATTGTGTTCTAGCTTTAGTTGTCTAATATCCTTGTTCTCCTTTCATAGCAACAGTATTTTTGCTAGTTAGATGGAAAAATCTGCCATTAGGGACCTCTCCAAAGTACAGAAGAGCAATGATGTCACTCTGGAGACTAAGGTGCACCTGATACAGGTCATGATCTTCACAATCACTTGGTATATGTCAGAGAGCTGGACAATGGCTAGGGAAGATAGAAGGAAAATTGATGCCTTTGAGCTGTGGTGTTGGAGAAGAGTATTGAAAATACCATGGACTCTAAGAAAATAAACAGGTTTACCCTGGAGAGGGTTAAACCAGGCTGATCCTTGTTGGAAAGGATTCTGAGGCTCTGTCTCACATACTTTGGATATATTGTAAGGAGGGACTAGTCCTTGGAAAAGAACATCATGCTTGGGAGGGTACAGGGACTGCACAGCAGAGGAAGGCGGGGGAGAGGTATGTCAGAGATACTAAGATTGGCACAGGATAGAGCAGGGTTTAGGGTTGTTGTACATAGGGTCACTATGAGTCAGTCACATTTCCAAGGTTCCTTATAACTAGAAGTATCCAACTTGTGAGATCCTAGGTAATAGTACGTGAGTAGAAGGAATATAAGGAAAGAATAAGGGCAGGTTTTGCGCTTTTTTTACTTTTTTACTCTTTGATACTGGTTGAAATTTACAACTCTTGGTGAGTCATCTAGAGAACAGTGGAAGATTGTAGCACTATGTAGATTGAGAAGAAACAAGATAAATAATGCTGCCTGAATAAAGAATGTCATACTGGCCTGCGGCCAGCAAAAGACCGGTGGAATCTTAGGCTTTTATGAGTGACAAACTGATCTGGTTTAAGTCATTCTTGATCTTGGTTTATTATTTATACATTTATATCTTTTTATTATTTTCACCACAATCTTAGAACATTTCCACTAACCATGAGGCA